ATAGTTAAGTAGTCAGTTCTCTTTGGCTTTTTGAATGTAATCTCAGACCAAGGTTTTGGCTAGAGCAAGGTTTAATGAACTGGGCTTCAAATAATCTGGAGAATTTTAGTGTTTCAAAAGAAGCACTTAAAGCAGGAAGGATATTTTTCTGGGATTGTAGATTACACCTTTTGAATTATAAGGATTTTGTTAAAGGGCAGTTTGAATGGGGAAAAGAAGACAGTGGGAGGGAGAAATTGAGGACCCTGCCCCTCAGGGAAAACAGCAGAAAGACTTGGTAAACTTGTTTCTGCTTTTCCTCTGGGAAATTGAATGGGGGAGTTGAGCAGGACATATATACTCTTTACCCATGAAGGCCTACCTTTCTAAACTTGAAGTTATAGTAAAGATAGAGCAAAAGAAGTAAACAAGTGCCTGCTGGTTTCATATTGGTAATTTACATCTCTGGTGTTGAGCAGCTTTGCTCTCCACTTTCCCTTAGGGTCATTCTTCTCAAACTGGAATTGCTATTCAAGAGAGAGGGCCTGAGATACAAGATACAGGATAAGCATGGTAATATAGTTCCATGGCATGACAAATTTACTTACAGATTTTGGAATAAATATTTTTATGTCAAATATACATATATTAAATGTGTATTAAATGGGATAAAATAAAGGTCATATGGAAGTATTTTTATATAAAACTTTTACTAAAGTAAATGTTAATACAGAAAAGTGTGTAAATCATAAATGCAGAGTTTAATGAATATCATGAAGACAACAAACCAGGTAACCACTACTCATTTGTTTTGTCTGATTTTAACATACTTTCTTTTTATAAGTGTTTGGATGCCGTATCTCTTTCCATCCTTTTGCTCTTAACTTTCTGAATATATTTGATATATGTCTCTTGTAAGCAGCGTATACTTGGGTTTATTTTTTCTCTAGTCTGGCTGGTAATCTGTATCTTTTAAATCGAATTTTTAGTCTTTTTATAGTTAATGCTATTGCAGCTAAATTTGTGTTTAGTTAATCATATAACTTTGTTTCCTGTTTGTCCCACGTATTTTTTTATCCATTTCTCCCTTTTTTCTGCCTTGAAAATACTTATATTATTTTATCATTTAATTTTTTCTATTAGAGTTTTACTTATATATTTTTACCTTTTTAATGATTACATCAGCAATTATAGTATACATTCCTAGTGTATTTTCTTTTTTTAATTAAATTTATTTATTTATTTGATTTTTGGCTGCATTGGGTCTTCACTGCTGCGTGCGGGCTTTCCCTAGTTGCGGCGAGCGGGAGCTACTCTTCGTTGCGATGCACAGGTTTCTCACTGCAATGGCTTCTCTTGTTGCAGAGCACGGGCTGTAGGTGCGCAGGCTCAGTAGTTGTGGCACACGGGCATAGTTGCTCCACAGCATGTGGGATCTTCCCAGACCAGGGCTCGAACCTGTGTCCCCTGCATTGGCAGGCAGATTCTTAACCATTGTGCCACCAGGGAAGCCCTCCTAGTGTCTTAAAGTCAGATATTAGTATTTTTACACAACAAAATGATTTTAGAACACTTAAACTCTTTGTATCCTCACACTTTTTCTGCCAGTTTTGTCATTTATTTTAATGATAATAGTAATAATACCTTGTGGGAACTTTTTAATGTTTTATGTAGCCTGTGTTCATTTGTATTTATTTATATACATAAGCTTTTTATAGCTCACCCTTCCTTTTTACATCTCTGAATTTTCATGGAATTCTTTTCCTTCTGCCTGAAGAACTTGTTTTAGTATTTTTAAAAATTTATTTATTTGTTTATTTATTTATTTATTTATTTATGACTGCATTGGGTCTTCGTTGCTGTGCACGGACTTTCTGTAGTTGTGGCGAGCAGGGGCTACTCTTCGTTGCAGTGCATGCGCGGGCTTCTCATTGTGGTGGCTTCTCTTGTTGTGGAGCATGGGCTCTAGGCGCGCAGGTTTCAGTAGTTTTGGCACACAGGCTCAGTAGTTGTGGCTTGCAGGCTCTAGAGCACAGGCTCAGTAGTTGTGGCACACGGGCTTAAGTTGCTCCATGGCATGTGGGATCTTCCCAGACCAGGGCTCAAACCCGTGTCCCCTGCATTGGCAGGTGGATTCTTAACCACTGCACCACCAGGGAAGTCCCTCCTTTTAGTATTTCTTTTAGAGTAGACCTGCTTATTATGAATTCATTCAGATTTTATTTTTTGAAAAATCTTTTTCAGATTTATTTCTGAAGGCAATTTTTGCTGGATATAAAATGCTTTCTTTGTCTTTGGTTTTTGGCAGTTTCACTGTGGTGTTTCTTGGTATCATTTTCTTTTCTTTCTTTTTTTTTTTAGTTTTTAAATTTTTTTGTGTTTCATAGAGCCTCCTGAAATCTGATAGTTGGTAGTCTTTTGCCAGTTTTGGAAAATGTTCAGTCATTATTTCTTCAGATACTGGTTCTCCTCAATCATGTGTCTCTTTTTCTTCAGAGATTCCAATTAACACATATGTTAGACCTTTTCACTCTATTCCTTATGTTTCTTTCGCTCAATTTTTTATTTACTATCCTTATGTCTTTTTGTACTTCAGTCTGTGTAGTTTCTTCTGACCTGGCTTTCAGTTTATTAATTTTCCTCTTCGTCTATGTCTATTCTATACCTTATATCTTAATCTTGTCATTGAACTTATTGACTAACTAAAGTTATTAGTAGGAAAATCTCTTATCTAAGTCTCCTGTGGGTCAATTTCTATTTTCCACTCTTTTCTCTGTTTTCAGTCAGACTTTTAATTTTGATATCTGATTATTTTTTATTGTGTTGGACATTATCACTACCAAAAAATTATAATAATAATTTGAGGTTCTCCATAATTTTATATTTATCCAGGAAACTTTATTTTTGCAGTTAGGCTAGGGGTAGATCACCCTAATCAGTCAGTGGTTAAGATGATTCCAACTTGGGCTTCAGTCCTTGTGAAGGTTGGTCTAATTTCTGCTCCTTCCTTATTCCTAGCTTGTAGCCTTTCAGGGTCCAGATAAAAGCCTGGCTGTTTTCCAAGACCTCTTCTCCAAGACAGATGCTGGACTCTGTTTTTTTTCTTAGCTTCTTTGCATCAGCTCCTGTTTTCTCTGTCAGAATCAGTAGCTGTCTTGAGGAATGAAGCTGTGCCAAATGTCCAGCCTACCTTTCCTGACTTCTTTCTTTTTCCAGAGCTTGTACCCACTCCCCTCAATTCTCACTGCCTTGATATCTTACCAGTGTCTCCAAACATATATATTTTTACATTTTGTTCAGTTTTTCTGGTTGTACTTAGCTGGATGGTTGGTTTTAAAGAACCTAGCCATTCTGGAAATATAACCACATGAAATTGTTTTGTTGTTCCAGTGGTGATCATTGGTTTGTTTATTTGTTTTTACAAAATATTTCAAAGCAGTTTTTATTTTGACTGTCATATCTCCCAAACCCCTACCTTCACTATACATGTCCATTGTCCTGTGCTGTTGGTGGTGATTGGGTAAAGAGTTTGAGAAATGCAATGGAAAGATCACTGGGGCTTCCCTGGTGGCGCAGTGGTTGAGAGTCCGCCTGCCGATGCAGGGGACGCGGGTTCGTGCCCCAGTCTGGGAAGATCCCACATGCTGCGAAGCGACTAGGCCCGTGAGCCATGGCCACTGAGCCTGCATGTCTGGAGCCTGTGCTCCGCAACGGAAGAGGCCACAACAGTGAGAGGCCCGCATACCGCAAGAAAAAAAAAAGCACTGACTTTTTAAGCAGACAGACTTGGGTTCAAATTGTGACTTTTATTGATTTTTGTCAACCTGTGCAAGTTATCTGTTAACTTTTTAAAATTTCTGTTTTCTTATCTGCAAAGTGGTCATAGTGAGAAGGAAAAATGAAATTAAAATTAAAATTTTTTTCAAGCAAGATAAAGTATGGACTGCATCTGGCATGTGGTAGATGCTTAGCAAATGTTTAAAAATTATCTTGGGGAGTTGGAAACTGTAGAATTAGGACTATTCTCATAAGAATTTCATAGGAATTTATAAGTTCACAATGTAGTAATTATTAGCAAACGCTTAATTAGCAACGAAACGCTGTTTCGTTGTCTGGCAGTTCAACAGGCATTTGTCGAGCAGCCACTGTCCCAGGCATCCTACTTAATCCTAGTGATATATAGATGTTGTTCGGGGTCTTGCAGTCCAGTGGGGTAGCAATGAAAGATGGTGAGCAGGTGGCAGCTGCATTCAACACTGCAATGAAGCCTGGGTATTAGGGCGAGGAGTTGGCACACTTTTTTTTAAAGGGCTAGATGAGGCTTTGTGGGACATACTGCCACTGTTGCAGGTACTCAACTCTGCTGTTGTAGTGCAAAAGCAGCCATAGTCAACACGGGGTGTATTCAAGTCAAACTTCACTTACAAAAACAGGTGGCAGATAGGTTTGGCCCTGCGGATCCCAAAACAGTGCTGACTCTAGCCTTCTACAAGCTAAGAATTCTTCTTACATCTTTAAAAGATTGTTTTAATAAAAAAGCAAGAAAAAGAATATACAAGACACTGTTTGTGGTCCACAAAGCCTGATGTATTTTATTTCTAATTCTTTACAGAAAGTGTTTGCTGACCCCTGATGAGAGTAGGTAATGATTACTACCAAAAGAGAAAAAGGGTAAATTTAAGTATTTTGATAGCAAAGAAAGAAAAAGAACGTGGCAAGCAGGCTTGGGTCCATGCAGGATCCTGGCTAGAAGAACAGGAAATTCCGTGTGTAAATACTGACATATTTGCCCGTTCCCCACCCCAGCAGTGATCCTCCTAGTTGCTACTCGTTTATTTTATTGAATTGTCCATACTGTGTGTTTTCGCAGCACATAGAGAGATGAAAGTTAAATACTCTTAGATATGTTCTCCTGTAGGAAAGGAATTAACTTCCCAGTATAGCTAAAAGTTATCAGTCCTTACTCTTGGTATTTATATTGCTTTATAATTTATAACATCCTGCTCATTTTTTTCTTACAGAAATACATTTTCGGGAAATGGCCTCTAAATCTTGGCTGAATTTTTTAACCTTCCTTTGTGGATCAGCAATCGGATTTGTTTTATGTTCTCAGCTACTTAGTATTTTGTTGGGAGAACAGAGGGACCTCCAGCCTAATATTCTTCATAATGATCCTCATGCTAGGCATTCATATGATAATGAACAGAATCATCTAGAAGGACAGATGAACTTTGATGCAGATGCTAGCCAACATAAAGGTATGGCTTACTTTATTAAGGAGTAAAGAGAAACCATATTTTTCAATCGGTTTAAGTGTTGAGAGAATTGGAAAAAGTTATTTATATGAATTTTATTATATCACTATATCTTTTGATGAAAATGAGCTTAATTCTAGATATTAAATGACAGTTCTTGGTTTGCCTCAGGAGAAGGAAATTGCTAAATCCCAGATTTATTTAGGGTGTAAGATATTAACTTTGAATTTATTTTTAAATAGAAATAGTTCAGAAACCATAATTTGGGGAAAGGCAAGACTTTCAAGTTAGATTTGTTTCTAAAAATTTTAATTTTGTTATCATAGTTCATATCTGTGTCTTTGGTTTTTGCTATCATCTTGTTTCAATCTTGGTTTTTGCTTAGTCTTGTTTTCCTAGAAAAGCTCAAGAGGTATATATAAATCTCAATTTATATTTTATCAGTAGCTAACGTAACTAATCTTTTCTTGTTTTGAGAGGCATAAAAAATTAGGGAAGTAGAAAACTAGGAATGTGTTATATATAATGACTTCATTTTCTCCTGGTCTTCTACCTCTATCCAGATGTTCTGAATTATGTCCTTAGTGTGCCCCTTAAATGTTGGTTTTCTCCAAGTTTCTGTCCTTTGGCTCTTTCTTTGCCTGTGTGATGTCATCAATCCCCATAATTTTAGTTTCCATCTTTACCTTGCTGGCTTTACCTTAGCCCAGTTCCACACACTACGAGAAGACATTCAGAATTCAAAGATCTCTGCAAATTGTGATTTATTTGACAGAAAAGAATACAGCAGCTTGAAAAACCATTGGAATTCTGGAATGCAGAGGGTCCCCCATTAAGCATTTTTTCTCTTATCTTTTGGGCAGTAAATTGCTTCTTTCCTACCTCTCAAGCTGAGGTTGAGGGCGAGGTATCACATCCTTGTTGAGTTTTATGAACTAGCAAATACATGCATACTATTACAAAGTGGGTTGTGTGTGTGAATGTTTATATGACAGTGATTCAACTCTGAGCAGCCATGTTCTTATCACAGAGCAGTTTAAGCATTGTGCACTTGATCTGTATCATTGCTCTAGGTCTTCAGTTGATCCGTTGGAGCCAGGCTTCTCTACCCCTGGTAGGCTGTACTAGATCGGCCTCACTGCAGGCACATATACTAGGATCTACTTGTCCTACTTGATGGTCCACAGAATGTGGGGTATGCTAGAGGTCTGTTTCTCTCAGACTTAACATGTGTAAGTCACACTCCTTTTCCTTTATAATCCTAAAATTCGTTCTTCCTCCTATTTTTATATAGCTCATTACTTTCTGCCTAAGCCAGAAACTATGAAGTCGTGGTAGGTACTTTCCTTTGCTTACCAATCGATCCTGTTTCTCATAAATTCTAACAGTCTGCTTCTTTACCATTTTTTAGGTTACTTCTCTCAATCTGTAGCACGCTTGCCCTAGTTCAGGCCGTATATCCATGTACCTGCTCTCAAGCAAACTTGACCATGCCTTTTGTCCTTTCTTCTGGTGAGCTTCATTTAAAGACCTAATTTTTGCATCATCTCTTATTTTTCCTGATATTGCTTTATATCCCCTTCTCTATTCTAGCCAACTTCCCATTCCACTCTTCTATAGTGTTTATAAGGCATTGCTTTATTTTACCCTCAGCACATTGGAACCTTCATACATACCTCTATTATAGCATTTCTAGTATATGGCAAGTATTGGTTTGCATGCCAAGCTCCCATGCTAGAATGAATTCTTCTGAAGCAGGGCATGTGTCTTATTCATCTTTTTATCTCCTGTACCAGCACATGCCTACTACAGAGTAATGAATGAATTAATAATTGAAAGAATGAGAAAGACTATCTGCCAGATTCCAGCAGTAGGGAGAAGGATGTCTTGCTCTAAGTGAAACATATTGGGGATTGCTGCTTCCACCACTTTCCCCACCATCCAGGATTTGGTATATCTGTACAGCTAAGAGATTGGGCTCCTCAAGTATATGAAATGTGAATGCTCTCTGACTGAAAAGAGGGTAATTTTCTTTGTTTTTGGATTGTGAATTCTTGATATTCAGAGGGACATGAGAATACTTTCATGCCCTGCCCAATCTTTCCTTCTACTCCCTCTCCATCAGTTAACTAGAAATTTATGCCTCCAGTTGTTAATTTTTTGCAGGGCTGAGCTTTTGTAACTCACTGGTTGACCTTAACTTTAAGGATGTTTCTCAGGATTCTGCCTAGAGCATTGCTACACAAAGTGAGATTTTGCAGACTCATGCTGGTCCACAACTAAATAAGTATTAAAATCAGGATTAAATAGTTAGAAACCTTTATGGTAATTTGACAATAATTTTGAATAAATCTAGAAATAAAAACTTTGGGCTTGTATTTTATATTTATTTTTTAAATTTTATTTTATTAGTAATTCATTTTTAGCATATTTACAAAAGTATAGGTCTCTAACTATTGGAAATAAAAATTGATCCTTCACCAAGCACTGATCTGGAATATCATAGTTGGATTCTTCCTCTAGAACAGTGTTACTCAAAAGGTAGCCTTGGCCTGACATCCTGTGAATTGTTTGTTACCTGTCTGCATCCTAATAAGGATCTTGCACCAGGATGTAACTCAGTTAAGCTCGCTGCTGAGTTAAGTGGACGTTTTGATAGGTTGTAGTAAAACTTCCTCGATGAAAGAAGTAACATGTTGCTTTATATTCTGGCATAAGCTCCCTATTTCTTTTCAAACCAGTGCTTTGAAAAACATTGCTCTAGACAATCTTGGAAATACACCTCTACCTGTTCTTCTGTTTCTCACTGTTAGATTTGCATTTTGGAATGAGGTATGTTACTGTAAGAAGTAAATTTTGTTTTGCATTAACTCCTCTTCTTCGAACTGGGGTAGTCATGAAAGCATTTTTAAAACCATCTCAGGGTACTTGTAGAAATTCTTAACACGAAACTCTTGTGGACTCCAAAATGAACTGCTACTTCATTAGTTTGTCTTTACTGCCCTTCAGAAGCTTATTCACAGCAGTGGGAAATTCCTGTCAATGTTCTGTTTCTTTCAGCTAAATCACTAATGGTAAAGAGGTATATGGGGTGGTGGGGGGGATCTTTAAAATTGTTTAAGAAAATGTCTTCTTTGGTATAATTTATTTGGATTTTACAACTATGTAAATTAACTTTAAAAAATTTCTGTTTAATAGATGAGAACACTGACATCGCCGAAAACCTCTATCAGAAGGTTAAAATTCTTTGCTGGGTAATGACAGGGCCTCAAAATCTAGAGAAAAAGGCTAAACATGTCAAAGCTACATGGGCCCAGCGTTGTAATAAAGTTTTATTTATGAGTTCAGAAGAAAATAAAGACTTCCCTGCTGTGGGATTAAAAACCAGAGAAGGCAGAGACCAACTATACTGGAAAACAATTAAAGCTTTTCAGTATGTTCATGATCATTATTTAGAAGATGCTGATTGGTTTATGAAAGCAGATGATGATACATATGTTATATTAGATAACTTGAGATGGCTTCTCTCAAAATACAACCCTGAAGAACCCATTTACTTTGGGAGAAGATTTAAGCCCTATGTAAAGCAGGGCTACATGAGTGGAGGAGCAGGATATGTACTGAGCAAAGAAGCCTTGAAGAGATTTGTTGATGCATTTAAAACAGACAAATGTACGCATAGTTCCTCCATCGAAGATTTAGCACTGGGGAGATGCATGGAAATTATAAATGTAGAAGCAGGAGATTCCAGAGATACCACTGGAAAAGAAACTTTTCATCCCTTTGTACCAGAACACCATTTAATTAAGGGTTATCTGCCTAGAACCTTTTGGTACTGGAATTATAACTATTATCCTCCTGTAGAGGTAAGTTTAGAAATTTTATTACTGTATAAGTACTTAGACTGACTTTTGTTTACTTTAAAAAAAAACTAATAATGTGTATGTTTCTTTTGTATCAATAACTAAGAATCTACCTTAGTCTTTTTTATATCGAATGGCAGTGTAACAGAGTAGATGAGAACAAAGGTGTCGGCAGTGGTAATTCAACAAATATTCGTACTACTGTATGCCAGGCACTAAGAATATAGCAGTAAATATGGCCAAGTTCCAGTTCTTGTGAACCTTACATTCTGGATGAGGAGACATACAATAAACAGGCAGACAAGTCAAGTTATAATATGATTTTAGGTAGTGGCAAGTGCCCTGAAGAACAGTAAAGCCAGGTAATAGGATGGAGAGTGACCCAGAGTGGAATGGGGTACTGTAGTTTAGGCAATTAAGGAAGACTTCTCTAAAGGATAACTTTTGAACAGAAACCTGAATGAGGTTAGAAAGCAGGCTACAGGAAGATCTGGGTAGAGAGCCTTCATGTCTTTAGGAACAATGCATGAAAAGACTTTGAGGTTCAGAAAGACCTATGTTCAAATCCTGCTGTCCCACCTAATAGCTGAATGACCTTGGATGGACAAAATTTACCTAACTCCTGAGCCTAAGTTTCCTCATTTGTAAGATGGATCTGATGTACCTGTCTCATTCAGTGAATTACCACGGTGTACCTGTCTCATTCAGTGAATTACCACGGTGTAGGACCGTGTCTATCACACAGTGAGCACCTAATAAGTCCTAGATCTCACTTGACACCTTAGCTTACATTCCTGAGAATTTTATCTAAAATACATTATTTTACTAAATATTTTAGATGTATAGCTAAATATTTGAGAAGGATATACTATTTTGTACCCAACCACCAGCTTTACCAAATATTAATCTTTTGTCACATTTGCTTCAGATTTTTTTTTTTTTTTAAAAAAAGATATAGAACTAGGTGAGGCCTATGTACCCTCCTCAGTCCAGTTCTCTTACCTCCTTCCTCAGAGTTAACCACTATCATGAGTTTAGTACTTAAAATAACCATGCGTGTTTTTATATTTTTCCTACATGTTTATGAATCTATAAATAATATATAGGATATTGTTTTGCAGGTCTTTAAATAAGTGGAATTATACCTCATGTATACTTGAACATATGCCTTTTTCACACATTGAAATTTGTCAACATTAATGTATGTATCTGCTTCATTAATTTAGACTGCTGTGTCATAATCTAATATATGAATATACTGTAACTTACCCATTCTTCAGCCGATGTATATTTTAGTAGGCTGTTGCTGGGTTTTCACTGTATGAGCATTGCAGCAGTGAATGACTGGAGACCGGGAGTCATGAAACGTAGCTTTTAGACTCAGTTCTCTTGTTGATTAATATGTCTCAAGGCAAGTCGCTAGTGCTCTTCACCTTCTTTCGTCTGGCCCTAAGGTACAAATAATACACTTTGTGCTACCTTCCTCTACTTCATGAGCCAATGTTTTCAGATCATCATCTAGAACAGTGGTTCTCAACCGGGGGCTTTTTTGCTTCCCAGAGGACATTTGGCAAAATCTGGAGACCTTTTTGCTTGTTAACTTAGCAGTTGCTACTGACACCTAATGGATAGAAACCCACGAGACTGTAAACCCACTAGGTGCTAAACATTCCACAATGCACAGGACAGCCCTCACAACAAAGATTATCCAGCCCAAAATGTCAACAGCACTGTTTTCACAACCTTGACCGAGAATATCTGACCCAAGCTTTAAGCTATCAGCTTTAAAAAGGAAAACTTGAAGCAAATCACTACCATTTCAGCTCTCAACCACCAGTGTGTTCTTGTTACTTACACAGAAATGATAGCTAATCCTTACGGCAATCCTGCATTTAAGAGGGGACAAAACTGGGGCTCAGGAAAATCAAGTAACTGGTCTATCCTGCTAAGTAGCCTAGGCAGTATTGCAAATCCACTCTGGTTCTAAAAGCTTGTGTTATTTCCATCATGAGCACCCCTCTCTGATTAATGGGATATGTGCCCCCGAAAGGAGGGTAGGGGATATGTTAGAATAAATATTCTTTTGTTGGGATAAATTCCACTTGAATAAACATTTTAAAACACAGTTTTATGTAATGAGGTTGTTTGAAACCGTATGCTAGCATCTTATTGCTATTAGAGATGCAAGAATTTCCTAAACTATAAAACAGATGTATTCCCAAGTGTGCTTTTGATAGTCTATTTTTGTTTTGGTTTTAGTGAGGTACTACTTTGGATGCTTCTTTAGTGTAAACTCTTCTTAAACCATTCCAAGATTACTTGACCTCTTCCCTTCTTAATTCTGCACCCTTTCCCATACAAAAATATACCCAAACTCAAAAACATTACAAATGCATAATAACAAATACACCTAATGCATGTAAGATTTTACTGAGAGTATCTGATATTGAGTACACATAACAGTAACAGTAAAGGGACATCATAATTGTCATTATTTTGTAACCAGCAAAATATCCTACTTTCTCTTTAAGAGTACTGCCCACAGTTCCCACCTACATATAGGGTATACCCAACAATATACTTTATATTAACAAAATAAATATTTCTATAGTACATATTTTATTTAAATTGTACTAGCTTTTTAAATGGATGGAAAATTTTATGTTCCTTCTATAATAATTTGTGAGTTGTATTGAAGATTGTAAAATGGGCTTGGAAGTTCCAAAATTGACCCAACCTTCTGATATTGTCTCTTCTCTCTCAGGAGGTTCTATATAAACCCAAAGTGAAATCAGACTTCTATTATTACTCATCATTTAATAAATCGTCTTCTCTCTAAGGGAGTTACTGTTTTCAGAGCCATCCTGAGTCTCATACATACACTTCCTCTCTCTAGTAATCACTGAAAATATAGTGTAGAAAATTTTTTTCTAGAGGTTAGGGTGTGAGATATTCTAGATGATCAAAGAGTTATGTTCTTAAGCTGGTTGTTCAGAACTTTGCGTGCAGTTCCCTTCTCATACCACCTTCTTACTTCCCTAGAAGTAAGTCTATTCCTAGGAATAAAGTCTGTTCCCTAGGAATAAAGTCTATTCTCTAGGACTACATACAGTCTATTCCCTAGCAGCAGATTTTTCACCAGAAAATTTGCAATCAGTCTTCATACAGTGGATTTAAAATAAGTGGATTTTAAAATATTTAAAAAACCCTCTACTTGTGAAATTGCCTTTTTGTAGGTCAGAAATGATCAAATATGGTTTATTATATTAATTCTTCAGTTTTATTTGCATTAACTCTAATCCATTTGAAACTTACTAATATATGGTTGATGTAGAGAGCTCTTGATTTTTCCAAATTGTTAACTAATTATTCCAGTACCATTTATTAACTGTGTCTTGCTTTCATTAACTGATTTAAAAATACCTCCTTTATTATCATTCACTATAGCATTGCTTATAGTAGGATTGGTATCTGAGATTTCAGTTCTGTTCTATTTGGTTTTGGCTCAGTATCATATTGTTTTGAACCTTGTAGCTTTACAAAAATTTTAAGTTATTAAGAGTGTGTCTTCCTCTCCTTTATTTCTCCCTCTCTTTTAAATTGTTTTGGCAACTCTCATGTCTTTATTCTGGTGTATAAACTTATTAATTTAGGAACAGTGGACATCTTTGCCCAGGATTTTTTAAGTTCCTTTTAGGTCCCTTAGTAAAGTTTTATACTTTTCTTCAGGTAAGTCTTTATTTCTTAAGTATCTCCCTAGGTTTTTAGTATTTTTGTTACTCTTCTACTTGGGCTCTTTTCTTAGAACTTTTTAACTAGTATATACATGAAAGCTGTTTGGTTTTTTTTTTTTTAAGCATCTTTAAAATCTGACTCTGTTCCTGGATTTTTTATTTCTGATGATTTTTCACTCTACTCTCGAGTTTTTGGGGTATCCATAATCATATGCAAAGAACTAGGTATTTCGTTTCTAATAATTTTAGCTGTTTTTTTATAGCCTTTTATTGTTTATAAAGCTTAATAAAAACAGTATCCTGGCCATCCAGTAACAAAACAGCGCAATAGAGTATAGCATAATTAATGCAGTAAATCTTATCAAAAATATTATTGCAATATTTCACAGTTATATAAAATTGCTTCCAGAGAGGATCAGTAATTTAATATTAACCGCTCTTGTTCTAGTCTTTAGTTTACTATGCACTGGCCACTATAGTAACCACATATGACTATTGAGTGTTTGAAGTATGGCTATCAAAATTTAGATGTGCTCAGGTGTAAAAGTCATACTTGATTTCAAGGACTTAGCACAAATAAAAAGAATGATTTCATCAATAATTTAAAAAATATTGATCACCTATTGAATATTAAGAAAATAATATAGATTTATTCAGTTAAAATATATTCAAATTAATTTCACCTATTTTTACTTTTTAAGTATGGCTATTGCATTGTGTGGCTCACATATATCTACTGGACAGAGCTGGTTTGATAATCACAAGTTGACTTATCTGTTTACTTTTCATATTTGTTCCTATTATTAAATTCCCTAAAGATGTAAAAAGTAGGCACCAGACAATTTTCCAGCATCTACAAAGTGGTCCAAGAAACCCACATATCCAGTGTTTGTTTCAAAGGAAAGCTCAGAGAAAATACAGTGGACAATTTCTTAATGATTTTTACTGCATTGTAAGCTATATCCTTCCAAACATGAATTATTAAATGTTCAATTTAATAGGTCAATATGAGTCTTCTCTGGGAACTTGCCAGAATGTTTTTCTCCCTGGGCCCCTGCAAAGACATTAGAGACTTAAGTTTTCTTGGAGTCGTCTGAGTGAAACAGTCTCCAGATACCAATTCTGACCCCCAGATGGCCTTGTGACTATTTAAGTCTGGGAACAGTTTTTTAAATTTCTGTTTTATTTTCTTGGTTTTTCATTCCTCTTTGTATGTTTGTTGTATTTTTGTTATTTTGTTTTTGTCTTGTTTTATTTAAATCTGCTCTCATGCCAACTCTATTAGAAATCTATGAGAATTATATAACTGAACAAAGGTTTAACTTTGACCTACTTACTGAGGGCCACCTGAACTTGATTATTCTGTCAGTAATAGCTAACATTTATTGAGCATTTACTATAGGTAAAGCATGGTACCAAGCGTGTGACACGTTGTCTCCTTTAAGTAAGCATCTTTTGAACATGGGGAAATTGAAGCTTATAGAGATTAAGTAACTTGCCCAAGATTATATACTAGTAGGCAAAATTTAGACTCAAACCCAGGTGTGACTCAGCACTTCCTCTCTTAAATACTATACTGTTTGGGTTGATTTGTCGATGAAGTATTAGGTTGCAGACACATACTGGGCAAGGCTTTGTAGTCATTGAATGTTCCAAAGGTGTCTTTCTGAGGCTGAGCCAAGCAGAACTTCATAGTGAGAAAGTTATGAAGAGAAAGCAAAACTTGGAGAAATAGAGCATTATCCTTTGTATAGCTGACCCTTTTATTTGAAGAGGTCTCAAGCGTTTTCTTTTTTTGCTAATCCATAGGGCATGAGAGAATATTGTTTCAGTTAGATGTACTTCAGCAACTTCATGTTTGATTTTAAATCATTGGGAACTCTGAAAACTCTTGGTCTCTTTCACAGGTCTAATAAATTATGTGCCTCTGCTTTACTTTGCCAGCCTTAATGCTTGGATTCTGTTAAAATTAGTGTTTCCTTTATCAGTATTTGAATATTGTATGTTAACAATGTTCTATTTATTAATAATGCCTGTTTCCACTACTTTTTTAGGGTCCTGGTTGCTGTTCTGATCTTGCAGTTTCTTTTCACTATGTTGATCCTACAACTATGTATGAGTTAGAATACCTCGTTTATCATCTTCGTCCATATGGTTATTTATACAGATATCAACCTGCCTTACCTGAGAAGATGCTAAAGGAAATAAGTCAAACATACAAAAACGAAGATACAAAAGTAAATCAGGAGCCCTTGAAAGAAAAACATAAATGAACAGAGGTAAAATGTCTAGCATTGCACTGAAGAAGAACGTCTCCATTTCTGATATAGAACACTGGAATCCCAGTGAGGAATTCTTTCTAAGTGAACATTCCATATTAGAAATTTTTCATATGAATGACTGTAAACTGAAGCTTTAAGTGAGCTGTGAAGTCTGTTGAAATGTGTTTTGATACAGTAATATATATACATATATGAAAAACTTGTGTTTTTAAAATGGTGGCCAGGCAGAGGAACTAGAAGAGATTTTGTTGCCTGTTCCTGACCACATGTATTATTTTCACTGAGAAACTAAAACAGTTAAATTTGCTAAAACTACACTGCACCATTGTTAGTAACCCACACACGATGCTACACAGATCTGCCTTAAAGAAAATTTAGAAGGAAATATTGTTGCTCAGTGTTGTTTGTAAACTCAAAACATGAGTTTATATTTGCAGTATGATATAAATGAACCAACCACCGCCCCCCCCACACACACACATGCAACTCTTGTCTAATGAAAATTTTGCTGTGACTATTTATAATTGGCAGTATTTCTTCCAGAGTAAGGTAGAATAAGAATGGCACTTGACCTAAAGTGCATTAATAAAACCACATTTTGAAATTATCATGGGCCTTGACTGTATTATATACTTGGTTCTAATTAATAGTTAATCTTTTACTGAGTGCCCATTGTCTCTTTCCTAAACATGTTTAACCATTCTTGAATGCCATTCTCAACTATTAATATTTATTTACTGAAAGTGTTAATAGCATTCTGTAAACATGCATTTTTAAATATTTTATTCCCAAATTTGCCCATTGTTAATTATGGGTAACTAATAAATAGTAAATGTAGTGCTATTTGGGGATGCTTTTCTTATATTAGTGCCACTCTCAGGAATCACTAAGTAACATTTTTAACTGATTATTTAAAACTGTCCAACTACATAATTATAGTTCCTTTCATTCTCATTCTGCTGAGAGATGAGAACTTGTTTGTGCCTTTCATAACTTGTTTAAAGCAGTTTTGAGATTCATTTTCAGGCTCTGAGGTGGCTGTTAGTTACACTGGCAAAATAAATAGTGAGATTTTGACCAGAGTTAATTAAAAACATTAAAAAATGCAGAGTGCTTAAACAAATAGAAATATGTCAGATATTAAAAGACCAAATACTTAGTTTACGAATAACAGCCTGAATTTTGATGGTGACTTATTTGGGGATGATTGTTTTGCCAATGGACAGTTGTAAGAGAGCTCAGTCTTGATGACATCAAAAACACATTCATAAATGTTTTGTTCTAATTTTAGTGACCCTCTATTTAAAGAATTTCTGGAAGGAAAGAAAATTTTAAATTTTTGTTGTCTTTAGCAATATCATCTGAGTGTATCCTAACAGTATACTTTACAGACTTTCCATAAGATTATCTTAAACATTACAAATAATTTACATTTCTCTTATGTTTTATCATTATGCTAATTTTATGTGGCTGTCATGCCATTGATTCTGCTGCTTAGCTAAATAGTTTATATTTATTGTGCCAAAACATGTCAAAACCATGACCTCTTTCAGTTGTATATTTGAGAGGATGTTCATCTTAGTGGCTAATTATGGATTACTCTGTCAACATAGTGAAAACTTATACCAGTTTTTACCAATTGAATTGTTTTTTGTTATTTTCATGATGATATCATCTGCCAGAATTTCAAGGCGTTCATTCTATTCTTTGAACAACTCTTTACCTTGGTATGGATAGGAATTTATTTGCAGTCCGTACATGCTACTTTTCTGTACTAGAAGTATAAATGGTTTACCATAAACATCCAAAAACCTTAAAATTGATTCATAGGAAATCAACATTGTGATGAATCCTGGGGTCTGAAGTCAGACTGCCTGGGTTTAAATTCTTGCTCCATCACTAGTTTTGTAACCTTGAGCAATTTACTTAATCTCTCTGTGCCTCAATTCCCTCATCTGTAAACTAGGGACAATAGTACTACCTACCTCACAGGATTTTTATGAGGATTAAATGAGTGAAAATGTGTATGGCTTTTAAAAACACTGTTTGGCCCTGAGTATGGAGCGCTAAGTATAAAGTTTTCTTATTATTCTTTACCTTGGAATGTAAATATTTGTTTAAATGAATGAGAAATCTGCTTTAATCAAATCAGGTAATAAAGGAAATAACTCATACATTTCTTATAATAAGTAATAGCTAGTTTTTATTTGATGCTTACTGTATGGCAGGTAACGTGCTTAGATACTCTGTGTTAATCCTCACAAATTGGGGGTTATTCCCATGTTATAGATGAGGAAACTGAGGCTCAGAAAACTAAAGTCATTTTCCACTGTCAGAAAGCTACTAAGTAACAGAGCTAGGATTTATACTGGAAGCATGTGTGTTCTTTGCCCCATGTTAGCCTTGAGGTTAATCATTAGCATTATTTCCATTTTTACTTAATGGCATGTGACATCTGATACATTGGCCAGCAGTAGTCAGATTAACCAGCCAAATTGTCATAGTGGTTCTTAAATTGCGGTTATTATACTCTTGCCTGGGAGCTTGTTAAAACGGAGATTTCAAGACCCCAATTCCAGAAATTTTGATTCTATCATGGGACCCAGGAGTATGCATTCTTACCAGATACCCTTGGGCACTGGTTCTCCACCAGTGTGTGGTCCCAACCAGCAGTATCAGCATCACCTGGAAACTTGTTGGTAATGCATCCTCTCCTGGGTCTCACCCCAGACCTACTGAATCAGGAACTCTAGGGGTAGAGGCTAGCAAATATGTTTAAACAAGCCCTCCAGGTGAATCTTATTCAGCATTCCCCTAAAACCTGGTGATTCTGATGCAAATCATCCTTGGTACACGCTGAGGATTACTTGCCCTGTAAGTAAGATTATCTTTCAAAAATTTAGATAAAGCATGTTTTAAATGAGTGTAGTTCAACATCACACTATATTAAATGTAAAAGACTAAAGATAATTTAAAGGGTCAGTGGATCATTCATTTTGGCAAAATTCTTTAGCTTCTTCAGAGTTACTAATATCAGGGCCCACAGTTTAGTAATTTCATATTGGGGCAGAAAAGTTTCAGTGAATACTAGTAAGTATATATTAATTCATTAAAAGCATACTTAAATGAATGTCATAAAAAATGTCCACATTTGTTAGTAAAAACATTTTAAATGGAGGTAGCAAAGTACTATTTTATAATGTGCAGAATGTTTTTCTGCCAATTCATACTATCAAAATTTCATCACTTTTCAAGAATCAGTTGACTGTCCTATAGGACCTAATAAAGCAAAAAACTCTCCAGGTATTTGATAGAGCACATAAAACCAGATTTCATGATGATAATGACTTATACTGTCTTTTAAATTAAGATTTTTGTCATCTGGGTAAATGATTTTAGTATGGTCTCAAAACAGGCTTTTGCTATCTTACGTTCTCCAATATATACTTGTATTTTCAAGTGGAAAGTTCATAGATGATACAAGCAGATTTTTATCCCAGAGTTCAATTATTTGTTTTCAAATAAACTTCAGAGGAGTTTTTGTTACTGTAAGAAAATTCGAAAATAAATCACTGACCAATTTTTTTTTTAAGTATGGTAATTGGATTTGAGCATTAAATTTACTAACTGGTTATTTTCATAATTGTTTGAGTATTAATTTTTCACTTCCTTGAGCCCGTTATACTGTATTATTACCAGATTGAGGCTTGAAAAATCCTTCATTTGATTGATTAGATCAAGTCTACCCTTTTATTCATTTAAATTTTCATTTCTTTAGAATATTCTCTGACAGTTTCTGCTTCTTTGTATTTATTGCCCTTTATTTCCTTGATAACTAACTTCCATTTTCTAACTACTCTTAATTCTGCCTTCACAAGGTTAATTTGGCTGTTATTAGTGATTAGAGTATGTATCACTTACATTATTTTATACCTATTAACATTAGGTTTCCCTATGAGGTTGGAAGTAAAAATTTGTCTAAGAATAATGCCTGCTGGCTCTCAGGATACTTGACCTACTTAAAAGTCTACAGTGTTGAACTAATACTAGATATACAATTAAATGAAGTAAAATTATTTGGATTCTACTACTTTCCAAATTCCCCTTTTCACAAACAAAAAAAACTCATTTGCCTCATCTCTCTACTTATTTATAGTAAGCCTGACAGAAGCATACTTAAGAAATCTAGGGGACAACCTGTGGTTTATTTTGTGCTAAATGTAACCTCTGTTGATTTTTAAAAGATGGCTTATGTTTATATATTGGAGTTGAAATATTTAATTCAAATTAGAATAAGAAATTTTATAAATTCTCTTTAGAGAAACCAACTCTGAAACTAGTTTCATAGTTGAATAATGCTCTATTTCAATTCCTTTACCTCTCTAGTTTTTAGTTTATATGTGTTAAGTTTAAATAACTTTGCAGAGCCCTGCAAATTAATAATCCATATGAAGTATATTATTGGAGGGAAACTAATCTTACTGCTAAGCAGTGTGTTATATTACCCAGTGAACGTTTGTGTTTTGGAATTTAAAAATTATGTAAGGTAATAGTATCATGAATGATTTAAAAATGTCTGGTGACTTGCTTATTTTAAGTGATCACCAATAAGTCAGAAAAATGTATTTTTAAATATGTTTTTTAAAGTGCCTTTTGAACGTTTTTAAACAATGGATTTAAACAACTGCATAAAATAAATTACCATGTTTAAAGCTGTTTTATCTGATTATTTTTAACTGATGTAAAAGTTGTGGGAGAAACATTGTCTCTAATGGGTAGTTTTGGGGTTATTTACCAAAAATATTAAACTATTTTCCCATCAAAGTTATTCAATTTAAATAGGCTTAAATAATTTTTACTGTAACATATATTATTTTTCTTTAAAGCAACAAAATATTCCACCTCTGATTTTGAATAATGTGCCTTAAAAAACAGAAACACCTATGCTGTAGGCCAGGTAAGTGTGTGTCTGTGTATACATGTGTTTAGGTATACGTATATGTTATAGAAAGAGGAAAAGATTGCTTTTCTATTTCTTGGTATATTTTGATCTGTCATGTACACTGAGAAATTAATTTATTCAACTAATTATTTATTTAAATAATTGTGCCCAGCATCTACTAGAAATACAGTGGTGAAGAAAATATACAGGATTTCTGTTCTCCTAGAGCCTTAATTCTACAGCTAGACAATAAACAAATTAATAGATGAAGGAACAAGATATTTCAGAGAATGGTGGTAGGAAAATAAAAGAGTGATATGGTAGAGCAATTTTCTGGGTGGGGTGTCAGGGAAGACCTCTGAGGTAATATTTGAG